TATATTTGAGCCAGGAGAAAAATCCTCAATAGTTACCTTCAAATTTCAACAACTTTTCTCTGACGGAATATATGAGCTGTCTGGTATAAATCTAGAACTATTTCTAACTTCCCAGAGTGCAATTCTAGCTTCAAAACTTAAACATGCACCTATTATATGACTCAACAGTTCCACTCCTGGATATTTCCATAAGAAATCTGAAAATATATGTCTATACAAAGACTTGCCCATGAATTTCTAGAGCAGGTTTACTCAAAATAGCCCCAAACAGCAAACAAATGTCCAATAATACATGTGAGTGAATAAATGAATTGTAATAAATCCATGCAATGATATACAAGAAACAAATTAAAAAGAATAAACCACCAATACTCACAAAGCTGGAAGCATCACACTCACTGATTATGTCACAAAACATAGTACTCAAAACAGTATGGTATTGACATAAAAACAGAATAGACCAATGGGACAGAATCAAGAACCCTAGACCACTATCTTACACCATTTGCAAAAATGAACTCAAAATGAATTAAAGACTTAAATGGAAGACGTGAAGCCATAAAACTTCTAGAAGAAAAACTGGGGGGCAGTCTCCTTGGTTTTAGTCTTAGCAGTGATTTTTTTTTTGATATGACAACAAAGGCACTAGAACAAAAGCAAAAATCAAGTGAGATTGCATCAAACTAAAAAATTCTGCTCAGCCGAAGAAACCATCAACAAATTGAAAAGGTGACCTGAAGACTGGAAGAAGGTATTTGTAAACCCTATATCTGGTAAGGGATTAATATCCAAAATAAATAAGCAATTTGTATAATTCAGTAGCAAGACAAAACAAAACAAAACAAAACCCTGATGATTTTATTAAAAATGTGCAGAGGATTTAAATAGATATTTTTAAAAAGAAGACATACAAATGGCCAATAAGAACACAAAAAGGTGCTTTACATCACCAATCATCAAGGAAATGTAAATCAAAACCACAAGGAGATCACCTTAAATCTGTTAGCATGGCTATTATAAAAACAAAAACAGTAGATAATAAATGTTGGAGAGGATGTGGAGAAAAGGGAACTCTGGTGCACTGTGGGTGAGAATGCAAACTGGTGCAGCCACTGTGGAAAACAGCACAGAGTTACCTCAAAAAATTACAAATAGAAATACCATATGCTCCAGAAATCTCACTTCCAGGTATATGTCTGAAGAGATAAAATCATTATTTCAAAGCCATATCTGCACTTCCATGTTCATTGCAGCCTTATCACAACAGGCCAGGACATGGAAACAACTAAAGTTTCTATAGATGGATGACTGGATAAAGAAAATGTGGTATATATATTCAACAGAATATTATTCACCCATATGAAAGAGGGAAATCTTGCCATTTATGACAAGATGGATGAACCTTGAGGGCATTATGCTGAATGAAGTAAATCAGGCAGATAAACACATACTTTATGATCTCACTTATGTGTGGAATCTAAAAACAACAAACTCATTGAAACAGTAGAATGGTGGATGCCAGGGGGAGAAGGCTAGGGAAAATTGGGAGATGTTGATCAAAGGGTACAAACTTGCAGTTATAAAATAATGTTTTAGAGAGTCTAATATATAGTGTGGTGACTACACTTCACACTATTGTATTGTATACTTGAAAGTTGCCGTAAGAGTAGAGCTCTAATGTTCTCACCATAATAATAGAATGGTAACTATGTAAGGTGAAGAATGTTAAATAACAGTATTGTGGCAAATATTCTGTATCATATCATCACATTGTACACCTTAAACTTACACAACATTTTATGTCAATTATATCTCAATAGAGCTGGAAAAAAGGTACCTTCAAAAATCTATAGTACATATCATACATGTTGGTGAGTTATTTGATGTTAATCCAGAATTATCTTCTCAGCAATGAATTACACTTTCTTGAACATCCCAAAATATTTGTTTCAAGGTATGCGTGTGTGTGTTTGGGGGGGGTGGTTACCTGAAAGTCCAAGTAAATTTTATCAACCACCAGGCCCAGGCTTGTTTATATTGTAAATTACTATATGTTACTATAATAACAGCCAAATAAGATTTCTTTCAAACAAGTGACCACTTTTTATTTTATAATAACTTGTATCACTGCACTGCTGTGCTTTTTTTAAAAAAAATTCAATTAGCCAGCATATAGTACATCATTAGTTTCAGATGTAGAGTTCAATAGTTCATCAGTTGCACTGCTGTGGTTTTGTATTGTAGCATAAATCCATGTTTTCACATGATTCTTTAGAACCAGGTTTCTCTATCCCTAGTAGGCTTCACTCTGCCCAATCATCAGTAATGAAGCAAAGATGTCCCTGATCACTCTTCCTGTTAAACATTGCACAAGAGTGGTGTTGTAGCTAGTGAAGGAACCAAGAAAAAAATGCCAAAAAATACAGGAAAGGGAGAACAAAATGTTCTTCATTCACAAAGGGATGATATATATCTAGATAATCCAAAATAATCTATATAAAAATGTTAAAAGTAATGAGTAAATTTATCAAGAACACTAAATACAAGAACATATAAACCTCAGTTTTTTAGAACAAGATTATTTAATTTTTCCTGCAAAATATTTTTTTCAGTACTAATTTTGTGCATGACATTGTTCTAAGTTTTGAAAAAGGTGGTAGGCAGATCTGTTTCCCAAAAGGATTTAATTTTGAAAGTCTAAACCATTTCAGATCTACATATGCTCTGTTGTACATATAAAAGATATGCCTTCAAAAGTCCTAGACTATGATTTGGGACAAAATAATTCCTAAGACAATTCCCAGTGGCTGAGCCCGCATCCTTAGGACCAAGATATATCTGATTCCTAAGTCTCTTTTTTCTTATAAACACACACAGGAAATCAATTCTCCTCTGAGACTATAGTAGAAAGAGATAGTAGCAATTAAGTTTTCCCAGCTCCCAACTTTAGAATCTCTCTCTCTCACACACACACACACACACACACACACACACACACACACACACACACACAGAATAGAAAATTGCCCTCCTCCACTTGCCTCCTCATGGCCCCAATATAGGTATTAGATCTCTCCAGCAGGACCAAAAGCATCACATAGACATGAATATGACTTAATCTGTGGATATGTCTTCAGTTTCTTGAAGAACTCCAGTAGCTTTCAGGGTGAGCACATTTCTGAACTGGGAATGCATTCTTCTTATTAAAGAAGTGGGTGCAAATTATGACAGCTGAGCTGGGAGGAGGCATAGAGAGTTGTCAGATAGTGTTGAAAAGACACAGTGTGCCCTACTATACAGCTGCTTTTACGTACTGGCTTACGTGCTGCATTTTCACTTTGGATAAAAACATTAATATTTCAGCTACTGAAATTTAATTCTTGTGAGGAGAATTCTAAAGAGAGGTAATCAGTCCCACTAGCTGTGGAAGCTAAAATGAGCATTTCCAAGATGCAGTGGAAGAAAACAGAAGAGTGAGGACAGCCTTATTCCATAGTTTTCTGTTTTTCATCCACTTTTCCTTTTAGGAAATTGCTTCCATTTCATTTCGTAGTTATAATAGTTGAATTATTTCTCAATTCAAAGGGCTTCTAGATTTCATATGCTCAGCCTCAATCTTTTAAAAAATATATAAAATTTTATAAAAGACATATGAGGAGAGCAGAGCCAAGTGTATACAGTCTTAGATTTCCAACAGAGACACCTCTCAAGTGGCAGGGAGGTCACTTCTCATATGTCCAGGAGGTACTATTAATTTTGGCATTGATATTTTTTATTCAAAGAGACTATTTTCCTTTCAACATCCCACTATAGGACTATCACCCTTATCTCACTACTTGTACATTTTTTTCTAAATTATCATATTCCAGCCCAACATAACCCACTTCTTCAGACTTTTGCATCCTATATGCATCCATCATATGCTCATAACTTTGTTCCTATCTCCTCACATATACTATCACACCAAATAAATATTCTCCTCCTTACTATTAAATGTTTTGCCAATCCTTTTTTATGGGCTTTAAAATGTATTGAATATCTCCCTTATACTAGAAAAACTTAGTTTTGGAGTTTATGTAGGCTGGGAAATATTCAATTCTATGGCTCCCTGAAATTGTGATATAGGGAGAAAATAAAGTGCTATGTTCTAAAGGAAATGTCAGTTGTTTTAGTTTAAGATGATGAGTACCTCCATTCACATTGGATTAGACTAGGGTCCATTGGAAGAGACTCTAACCTTAGAACAACATTAAGGTCTTATAAGTTACTACATTCCCAGTGATTCTTCACCCACTGTTTATGGTGGTAGTGACCCAAGAGCAGTAATAGGTGGCCATTTGATGATATTAAAAGGAGATTATTATGTTTTTACCTTTAAGATCATTTTATGATTCATAGTTTTCTGAATTTAAGTTTCTTCCAAACCAAAAGGGTGGAATTTGTGCTAAAATTAACCCCTTTAAATCGTTGTCAGGGTAGTCCACTAGTAAGACTGATTACCTTAGAAAGGTGAGCCCACAAGAACCATTGAAAATTGTTAACATTTTAGAATGGAATAGGTACCTCTGACTAAGATGATGAGCCCTTAGCACATGGCAAATATTTCCATCAATCCTTGATCATCCAGTTGGTCAGTTAGTGACTAACTTCAGCCTGGAGAATGGACTGCAAATTATGATAACAAAATCATGACAACCAGAAACCCCAGACACATCCAGATCCAGCACATCCATTAAACTCAGTCAGTATATCTTGTCAGTATCTAATGCTTAAGGCATGGGCCCAAACTGTGTATATGTCACATAGTCAACATAAAAGACCGTATCTAGTGATTGATCTACAAGCAAGACAAATTAGCCATTATGAGGAAGAAAATCCTGCTGGTCAGTTACTCTCTGAACCTCCTCCTTCTCCTCCTCCTCCTTCTTCTTCTTTTTTCTTTTTTTTCTGCTTACAGAACAATTCTGTAACTGCTGTACCATGAACTTCCAATAGATGTTATGTCGTTCCTAAATGGCACCAGCCTAACTCCAGCTTCATTCATCTTAAATGGCATCCCTGGGCTGGAAGAAGTGCATTTGTGGATCTCCTTCCCCCTGTGCACCATGTACAGCATTGCCATCACAGGGAACTTTGGCCTTACGTACCTCATTACTCTGAAGAAGCCTTACACAGACCTATGTACATCCTCGTAGCCCTTCTTTCCTTCACAGATGTGCTCATGTGCACCAGCACTCTTCCCAATACCCTCTGCATATTGTGGTTCAACCTCAAGGAGATTGACTTTAAGGCCTGCCTGGCCCAGATGTTCTTTGTGCACTCTTTCACAGGGATGGAATCTGGGGTGCTCATGCTCATGGCCCTGGACCGCTATGTGGCCATCTGCTACCCCCTGCACTATGCTACTATCCTCACTGATGCGGTCATTGCCAAGGCTGGACTCCTCACTTTTCTTAGAGGTGTAGTACTTGTTATCCCTTTCGCTTTCCTCACCAAGCGCCTGCCATACTGCAGGGGCAATGTTATACCTCACACCTACTGTGACCCCATGTCTGTGGCCAAGATATCTTGTGGCAATGTTAGGATCAATGCCGTCTATGGTTTAATGGTTGCCCTCCTGATTGGGGGCTTTGATATCTTGTGCATCACAATCTCCTACACCGTGATCCTTCGAGCAGTTGTGAGTCTCTCATCAGCAGATGCTCAGCAGAAGGCCTTCAGCACATGCACTGCCCACATCTGTGCCATTGTCATCACCTATGTCCCAGCCTTCTTCACCTTCTTTACTCACCGGTTTGGGGGACACACTATTCCTCCACACATACACATTATTATGGCTAATCTGTATCTACTTATGCCTCCCACAATGAACCCTATTGTGTATGGGGTGAAAACCAAGCAGATACGAGAAAATGTCATTAGATTCTTGCTTAAGGGAAAAGACAATTCTCATAACATTTAAGTAGAGTCTTCTGAGAGGTTAGAATTCTCTTAGCCAGGTTGAAATCACCAAGTCTCTAAGGAAGTCTCCAAATGAAAGCAGATATCTGGCCACAGGAAATATTTCTATGGGACTTTAATTCTTCTACCTTTTTTTAAAGGGTACCACTATGCCCATTAGTAAAGACTTTCTTTCCTGAAATTCCATGTTCTTCAAAGATTCTTTTTTTTTTTTTTTTGAGTGAGCACACAAGCAAGGGGAGCTGCAGAGGGAGAGAGAGAAGCAGGCTCTCCATTGAGCAGGGAGCCCAATGCGGGGCTGGATCCAGGACACTGGGATAATGACCCCAGCCAAGGCAGATGCTTTACCGACTGAGCCACCCAGGCGCCCCTTCTTCAAAGACTCTTACTCATAGGGGACAGTTATTGGATCTCTAGGATTAGAGTTGAACTTTTAAAAAATTTTAAATCCCTGGGAAACATGAGCCATGTTCATCAATGTCTGTGCTAATTTATTTATCTCAGCATTCTCCTGCCAAAAATACTTGGAGTTCATTCTTCTTTCCCAAGTTCTTTTCTCCTGCTTTATTCCCCAAGTTTATCAACTGTCTATCCAGCAGTGCATACCTATGTTCATCAGAAATCTTCTAAAAGATGTAAGTTGCAGCATATTCATAATACCCAGAACATATATCCTTCAACATCCAAATTGAATAAATAATTGTAGTCTATTTCAAATACAATGTTGAGTGAAAGAGACCAAGTAATATATATTGTGTGATTTCATTTAGATAAAGTTCACAAGCAGGCAAAACTAATTTTTGGTTTTAGAAATGAGGATGATGTTTAACTTTGAGTATGAAAGTCTGGGGATTGATTGAACAGGGTATGAGGAGTGCTTCTGAGGTGCTGGCAGTGATTTAGTTCTTGACCTGAATGGTAATTACAAAGTATGTCCACTTGGTAATATTTCATGAAGCTGTACACTTATGATGTGTGCTCCTTTTGGTGTGCATATTATAGTTCAATAAAATATTTATTTAAAATAATATGTCTTGAGCACACTCTCTGAACTCTCTAAACTGTGAAACATTTTCTTCCTTGCCTCCTATGCTGTTTGTCTGTCCATGGCTTACAAAGTATATATACTTAATTTCTTTCCATAGTTTGCTAAATTTAGTATCAATAATATGCATATTTGTATGCTCAAACAACACAGATGAGATAATCATTAAAAAAAATGAAAACCCCCATCTTGAAAATCTCTTCCATCTAGTTCCTTTCCAGAGATAGCCTCTTAAAAATATTGTGTATGTTTATAGCTATTTTTCTTCTTTTTGGTGATTTCTTCTTTTACTCCAAGCTATGTTTGAACTTTAATTTGACTACAAACTACCCTGTTATAGACAGTGAGGGTTGTAACTCAATTACAATATCTGTCACCTGTGTGATTTGTACATACTTATTTGTGTGTGCATATAGTGCGTACAGGTATACACACACAATGTGTGTCTCTGTAGTTTCCTTCTTTCCCTACTACTTCCAACCTCAGTGCTAATCAGATATATTTTTAATTTCCTGTTCTTTAAAAAATTATTTATTTATTTATTTGAGAGAGAGAGAGAGAGAGAGAGCGTACAAGCAGGGGTAGCAGCAGAAAGGGAGAAGTCGGCTCCTTGCTGAGCAGGGAGCCCAAAGTGGGGCTCGATCCCAGGACCCTGGAATCATGACCTGAGCTGAAGGCAGACACTTAACCTACTGAGCCACCCAGGATCACCTTTAATTTCCTGTTCTTAATATCAGTACCATTAGCTACAATTCTAGAAATCTTCTTAGATTTATCATTCAATTGCAATAGCTGAAAACTAATAAAACAGTATTTGAATTACTATAATTATACAAATATTGATATGATTATTGGATATAAATGTATATTACTTTATAAACAGGTCAGGATTACATTCCCTTCTGTATCTGTCCAATGTCACCATCCTTATTATTTTTGCAGGAGAATATTTCCAGCATCAATACTTTTCAGAGATATCTGATAATGTATTTCACCCATAAAACAATGAAAGGATTTCTATGGAAAAAGGGCAAGCAGACAATTAGAAAATGACTTTTATAACAGAAAAGAATGACTGATGGCAAAAATATGTAAGGGAAGGAAAATAAAGTTGCAAAAATCTCACAGAAAGAGAAAAAAGGCAAGGCAATATAAAATGTGAAAAAAAAATAAAGAAATATGAAAGTTCTGTCCAGGAGGGCAGAAGTCTCACTTTTAGGATTTACATTAAAAGTGAAAACTGTTCAGGCAAAGGGAAAATTTTTCCAAACAACTATAAAATAATATTCCCTATAACAAAATTAAAAATTTGTATTTTAAGGGTGCCTGGGTGGCTCAGTTGGTTAAGCGACTGCCTTCGGCTCAGGTCATGATCCTGGAGTCCCAGGATCGAGTCCCGCATCGGGCTCCCTGCTGAGCAGGGAGTCTGCTTCTCCCGCTGACCCTCCCCCCTCTCATGCTCTCTCTATCTCATTCTCTCTCTCAAATAAATAAATAAAATATTTAAAAAACAATTTGTATTTTAAGAAATAATCAAGAAATACCAAACTACCTAGAAAATTGTTCATAAAAACTCAAACCTGGACATGCTACTATGAAATTAAAGAACATAAAGATAATGTAAAAACCCTTAAAATATTCAGGTGGAAAACAAACATTAAAATGTTAAAAAAGTAAATTCATATTTCTGTAATTGAAAAGGTTCCTTACCAATAAATATTGATGCTGGAAGATCATAGCCATTTTCTTCCTTATGAAAATAAGTAATTATTAGATACAATTCTGTTCTCAATTTAATAACCAAATATGTGAATGGTAAAGTTATTTTAGATATGCAAAAAATGAAGAAAGGAGATCTGTGTAACTACTTTTCTTACAAAGTTATTTGAGGATGTACTCCAGCAAAATGACAGAATAAACCAAAACATGCTCATACATGGAATTCAGACATTAGTGGTTTCAGTCTAGGAAAGGAAAAAAGAATTCCCAGCACTCTGAATGAAGAAGATTGAAGATGAAAATAATTTCTTGTAGACCAACTTTCAACGATTATTCTTGTGTTCAATTTCTTCTGATTATATTACTAGAAACTTACACATTCATACACATTCGCTCCCTCCCTCTCTCTTTCTCTCTCTCCCTCCCTCCTTCCATAACAGGATTAAGTATCATTTATTTAGACACACTAGGAATTAATTTATCCTGGATACTTTACATGCATTATCTCCAATTTTGATTCAATTCTGCAGATAGTCATCATTCACTGCATTTTATTTTTAAGGAGACTGAAACTTGGATGAGTTCATTAATTTGTCATAGGCTACATAGATTTTAGGTAGAGATTTGGGATTTGAACGTAGAAAACTCATGTTGTTTCTTTTTTTTAAATTGTATTTTATTGAAGTAAAAATACTTCACATGAAATTATCCTCTAAAACATTTTAAGTGTACAGCACATTTGTTGACTGTACATACAATGTAAAGCAGATCTCTAGAGCTTATTAATCTCGCCTAACTGAAACTTTATGATGGCTATTTAGTAATTTTCCCCTCTCCCCTGTCTTGGGAAACAACCATTCCACTCTTTATTTTTATGAATTTGACTATTTCAGCTACCTCATAGATGTGGAATCATGCACTACTTGTTCTGTCACTGACATTTTTCACTCAGCATAATGTCTTCATGGTCATCCATGTTGTTGCATATTTGCAAAATGTGCTTCTCTAAGGTTGCATTGTATTCCATTATACATATATACTACATTTCTTTATCTATTTAATCACTTCCCTTTCCTACTTTTCTTTTTTCCCCCTACTTTTTTAAAATATATGTTACTTTAGTATCTCCTTGCAATTTGATAGGAGGAATGTCAGAAGGAAGACAGCAGTTTCTTCTTTACTATCACATAACCACATCTTTATTTCCATTTTCTTGAGAGGGATTATCTTGTATAAATTTTAAAAAGTGATTAGAAAAAACTCATTTAAGTTAATGTGTAAGTCACCGAGAATTGATTTGTCCTTTTTTAAAAAGTTTATTTTTATGAGATATAATTAACACATAAAATTGTATAAGTTTAAGGTGTTCAACATGTGTTGATTTGATACCTTTTTATATGTTACGATATGATTACCACCATAGTGTTAGCTAACACCTCCATCTCCTCACATAATTATCATTTCTTTTTGTGGTGAGAGCACTTAAGATCTATTCTCTCAGTAAGTTTGAAGTTTAGAGTACAATACTATTATCTATAATCACTATGCTGTGTCATATCTCCAGGATTTATTTATTAGTCAAACAACATATACCCATTTCCTACTCCCCTAGCATCTGGTAAACATCATACTACTCTGCTTTTATGAGTTTGGCTTTTTTAGATTCTATATATAAATAAGATCATACAGTATTTGTGTTTCTTTGATTTGTCTCACTTAGCATGATGCCCTCAAGGCCCATCCATGTTGTCATAATTGGTGGGATTTTCCTTTTTTCTCATGGCTGAATGATATTCCATTATGTGTGTGTGTGTATATATCAATACACTATTCAATGATGAAATGGCCTGTGAATTATGATCCTGATTTTTTTTAAAATTACATATACATGGAAATAAAGACCCACTAAATCTTAATAGCAGGTATTTCTTGGTGTCAGAAGTATATGTTATTTAGGGGTGCCTGGGTGGCTCAGTTGGTTAAGCAGCTGCCTTAGGCTCAGATCATATCCTGCAGTCCTGGATAGAGCCTCTCATAGGGCTCCCAGTTCAGCTAAGGATTCTACTTCCCCTCTCCCTCTGCACCTCCCCCAACTTGTGCTCACACACTCTCTCTCCCTCTCTCAAATAAATAAATAAAATCTTTTAAAAAAATGGAAGTATATGTTACTTAAAAAGGTTTTAATTATTACATTTTTCTTATTTTAAGTTAGGGAGTATAATATTTTAGAAATTTGA